TGGACAGCTGACCTATTTTGTGTGTTGTACAGCTTCCTGCCACCTTAAACCTGCCTGGCTATGTTGGCTGCCTGGAGCTGGCCACTTTGAACAATGACGTGATCAGCTTGTACAACTTTAAGCATATCTATAATATGGATCCCTCCAAGTCAGTGCCCTGTGCCAGGTAAGAGACAGTGCAAGACACTCAAGACTTTGTTAGGCAAGAGCATCTGTGAGGACAAATGTGAGTTATTATGCTGATTCTCAAATGTGGGGAAAACAGTAGTGAAACTGCATAATAGTTACACCTACAAAAAAGACTTCAGTTTTTGTTGGGGGTTTTTTTTGCCATAGATGAGCACACACAAGTACTAAAAATGTTAACTTGTTTGAAATTTGACTCTGAATTCCAGAGATTGGGGTTTCCCTGTACGTTTCAGTTGTCTTAGTACATAGGGTAGAGAAGAAATCCATTAAAAGCAATGCAGTTAGTTTACCATAAATATTTCATTTCTTCCATGTAGACAACAGGACTCAAATGTTTTGAAGTCCATAGAAGATGTTCTTAAAATGAGTTAAGAGTCTGAAAAGCATAACAAAATCTGTCATGTTCATGACATGAGCTCACGTTTCCATTGCAGAGACAAACTGGCCTTCACTCAGAGCCGTGCAGCCAGTTACTTCTTTGATGGCTCTAGCTATGCCGTGGTGAGGGACATCACGCGGAGAGGGAAGTTTGGCCAGGTGACGCGCTTTGACATAGAAGTCCGAACCCCAGCTGACAATGGCCTTGTGCTCCTGATGGTCAATGGAGTGAGTGAAGATAAAGTCCTCCTTCCCCTTTACTTCCTTTCCTTTCTGTTATTTACGTTTCAGGAACCTTCTCAGGCTGAGTGTGCTGTGCTATGAAACTGAATTTCTACTTTAGAAAGCAAAATTGGATTGTTTTCTTTTGGAGAAGTTATGACAGCAGTAAATAAAAAGCAGCCCTGGAATGCATTTCCCCTCACCCCATGTTAGAAGTATATTAAGTATGCCCTTTTATAAACGTAAAGAAAATTTTAAGAAAAATCAGCACCAAATCTAGGTGTACAGTGTGTCTGCAGAAATGTCACACTGGTTCCTTTAAATCATATGCCCCAATCAGTCAGAACACCTTGCTGACTTGAATGTATATGTATAGAGCTATAATGATGTACCAGATATAAGTAGTTTATGAAACAGTCAAAAGTAGTAACACTTTTAAAACAAAATTTATAAAAATAAAATATTCAAACTAAAATAATTTTATTTATTAATATTCAGAAACACATTTGCTTTCACTAAAAATTGTTTTAATAGCAATAGTAATAATAATATACTTGTACTATACTTTTTTTAAATCTTGTTAAACATTTTGTGATATAGTGAGTCAAAAGTCTTGTTCTAAATTCAGTTTTATTTCAATACTAAGTTTTATTGGGTGTCATAACTGGATAGATACCTCACAAAAGTAAAAAGTGTAAAACAGTATCACTAGCTGTGTCTACTAAGTCATAGACATCTCATGCATAGTTGGCAAAGGTGATCTTTGAAATTTGACTGGTATGTTTTCTTTTTTCTGATGTTACTTCATGCAAGCAAATCAGATATTGTATCATCTTGTAAAATTTTTTTGTTTTGTTTTGTTTTTTTGTTTTTGGTACCGGGGAT